TCAATAATTTGGCTCCTCTATAAAACTAATTAAAAGTATCATAAAACGTATAAAATAATGAATTACCTCCATTGAACAAAGTGTTGGCCTCTTCAAGGACCTCTGTTAATTTGTCGCTGGCATTCAGTATGTCCTCCCGGTTTTCTATTTAAAAAAATACAAACTTCGGGAAATTTGCTCAACATTCACTAATAAGTAGTTGGCAAAGTTAGCACCTGCAATAGTAAAGCCAAGCCCCAGCCCCCTGCTCCCGGGGTTATTACTTCAAACATCTTTAGATTTTTAACCAAAATGGCACGGAAAGAGAAAGGTGACTGTTCCCTTTAAGCGACATGAATTAAAGGGCAACCCTGGCTCCCTCTAACCTTAACCCGGAGGGCTCGACTCCCGCAGCCTCAGAGGAGCGCTCCCTAACGGAGTGGTTCTCAAACTTTGCGAGCTACAGAATCACCTGGAGGACCGGCCACTCAATAGAGGGGCCGCCCACTCAGAGTTTCAGACTCCGTGCGTGGGGGTGGGGGCCGGGGATGATCATTTCTGACAGTTCTCGCGTGGCGCTGACGCTGACGGGCTGAGACCCGCCGGGTGCAGCGGCGGCACTCGCGGTCCGCGTCCTGCCTCTCCCCTGCCGGCCGGCTGGGCTGGGGCGAGTCACCGAGCGGGTCGGGCCTCCGGCTTTTCCAGCCTGCCAATCCGAGACCTGCGTGCCCCCCGCCAAGGTCGTGCGGCTCCAGCGACAAAATGGATGTGGGAGCACTTCGTAAACAAACTAGGGCGGGGCCCGCGGCGAGGGGCCGTCACCACAGGGCGGCCCGCCGCGCGGGGCCTGCCCCGGCACCTGCCCCCCGACCCCCTGCCCGCGGCGCGCATGGCGGGGACGGCGACCCGGCCCGCGCCGCCCCGAGGCGCCGCCTTACGTTGGACAGAGTTGATGAGCGCCCGGTACTGATGGCGGATCTGGCGGCACAGGCCGTGGTCGGTCTCCGCCTCCAAGCTGGCCGGGTCCACCATCTCGTCCCCGGAGTCCGACGGCTCTGTCTCCTCCAAGCTCGGGCGCTCCGGGGCCTCCCTGCGCTCCGGCGCGGCCCCGCGGCGGGACACGGGCGACAGCGGGGACCGCGAGCGGGAGCGGGAGCGGGTGCGATCCCGGTGCGGGTCGCGACCGCGGCCCCGGCCCTCGGGCCGGCGGCCACTACTGTCCCCAGACATCGCGCCAATTCGCCGTGCAACTTCGGAACGGCGGAAGTTCGCGCCAGAAACTGAAACCCGTGCTCGGCGCGAGCGCCTGCTCCCCGCGGAACGGGGCTCTCGGGCCCGCGCGAGCGCACAGCGACGCCTGTGGCGGGAGGCCGGCGACGGGCCCAGGCGGGCCTCCAGAGCCGGGGCCGCGGCGCCGGGGCCAGGGCGCCTGCACGGACTGCTGCGGGCTGGGGCGGCGCCGAATGCACCCGAGAGCCCGGATCCTGGATGTTTTTGTTCCTTTGCCATGGGTATAATGAGATCCCGCCTACTCCACACTGTAAGGTTGTTAGAGTCTTGCTTTTCTCGTCTCTCGGGCCCACCCCACTAAACCTGCGTCTTCCCCGGGTCACTTTGGCTCCCCAGGACACAGCCTGGCGACGGCATGGGCACGCAGTGCGTTTCTGGAGCGCGGTTCCTGCCGGTGGAGCAGGATGAGCGCAGGACGTGGAGACAAGAAACGTGCTCTGCCGCTCTCCATCTGTGACCTCAGTTTCCCTGTGCCAGCAGGCGGGGCCAGGGGGATCTAATGGGGTTTATGTGCAGCTGGCAATACCACTTTTTGTAAGGACAGAAGAAAAACAAAAAATTAATAGGCTTCCTTGACTTTCTCATAGTAAACTCTCTGTTAACCACCCTTCTAAATTTCTACAACATGATAGTCTATGTTTCACAATTGATTCTCCAATTAAAAGATTCTAAGAACATCTCCTACAGGGTCCAAGAAAGATGGAATTATATTCAGCGTACTTTGAAAGATAAATGTATGAATTTCATTCCATGTACTTTGGATTGTATTCAAGTGTTGTTTCCCAAGAGTTCTGTTTGGTGCTGAGAACACATTTTATTTTCTCAAAGGAGCACTATTGTAAGTTGGGTTACTACACAAGCCTACTACCCGCTCCTGCTCCCACTCGCGGTCCCCGCTGTCGCCCGTGTCCCGCCGCGGGGCTGTTTGTGTATCACGTATACTAACTTAAGGGAGGCACTAGTCATTGCTGCCCAACAGCTGATACCCCACCGCTGCTTACCTGGATTTCAGGAAAGGTAGACTCCGTGCCTGCTTCTTGGGATGAAGCGTGATTGTTCTAAAGGGGCCATGGTAATCTCCTTCTTCCCCACTGACTTGGCTAGGGACAGGCATGTGATCCAGTTCAGGTCAGTGAGATGTGAGGGGGTTTCCCATCTGGAGGAACAGAAAGCCTCCAGAAAAGAAAGCCCTTGTCCCTCCCACCCACCTGTGAGATGCTGGCATAATAACCTGGTGCCTGGCTTGTTGGCAGCCATCTGGTACTCGTGAGGTAAGAAGCATGAGGAAAGAGCAGAATGTTGGGGACCGTGGAGAGCAAGGATAGACATGGCTGAATTGCTGAATGAACTGCCTGCAGCCAGACTCCTTGTTAAGTAAGCCATACGTACCCTGTAGTTTAAGCCCCAGTTAATTGTTTTGTAGTTGTTACTTGCAGCTCGGTGCACTGTAACTGAAACAAATACTTAGCATTCTTCTAGGTGGAAGTTCATTTCAAGCTCCAGACAAAAATACCTGCAACATTTCATTCAATGAAACAAGCTTTTAACGTATATTAATGGGCCAGACACCCTACAAAGCACAGCAAGTCACAAAGATGACTCAGATACTTGCCTTTGCCTTCCAGGGTATCACCAGGATATCACCAGGAGACAAACACGAAACTGGTTCTAAAATTCAAATGGAAATGCAAGGGACCCAGAATAGCCAAAATAACCCTGAAAAAGAAGGACAAAGATGGCAGAACTCACACTTCTCGATTTCAAAACTTAATGCAATGGTATAATAAACTGTGTGGTGCTGGTGTAAGTACAGACATATAGATCGATGCAATAAAATTGGAAGTCCAGAAATAAACCCATACATCTATAGTCCGTTGATTTTCTGCAAATGTGTCAAGACAATTCAATAGGGAAAGAATAGTCTTTTCAACAAATGGTGCTGCGAAATTGGATATCTGCATGCAAAGAAAGGAAGTTGGACCCCTCTCTCATACCATATACAGAAATAAACACAAAATGAGTTGGACCTAAATGTAAGAGAAAATACTATAAAACTCTTAGAAGAAAACACAGGTGTTTTTTGACCGTGGATTAGGTGATGGTTTTTTAGATATGTCACCAAAAGCAGCAACAACCAAAGAAAAAAACAGATAAATTGAAGACAAACTTTGTGGTAATTTGTTACAGTGGCCATAAGGAATGGATACAGGTGCCCAGGAAGACGTTGCCACCGCTAGGCCTGAGGGTTGGAGGGAAGAAGCAATGTTATCAGAACCCCATGAGGACTGAAGCCGTGGGGAAGGGGCCACCAGACAGGAGCTGTGGTTCTAGAGCTGCAGCCATGCCAGGACCATGATGCTAAGCAAAGGAGGAATGGAGACAGAAATTTTCTGCTCACCCTTCCAACTTCTCCTTCCCTACTTTTATTTCCCATCAGATGAGGCCAGCTGGATGCCAGAGGGTAAGGAAACCTATGTGATGCAGTCCATAGGTCAGTCCCTGGGCAGAACGGGCCCAAGAAAGGTAGAGATGGATTTGAATGGGGACAAATGGGGAATAACCAGCATTGTGGGTAAAGGCTGTATCCGGGTCTATTTAGCTAGGTATAATAGAAATTCCACTGGAATGTGTTAGTCATAATGGTCACAATTCTTGTGAAACCAGAAGTGTAGAAGTAGGCAGGCCAGGATGGGTGCATTGGCTTAATTGCCTCATCCCAGAAGTGGCACATGTCACTGCTGCTCGTAGTCTCTATTGGCCAGATCCAGTTACATGGCCCCAACCTAATTGCAAGGGAAGCTGAAAAAATTTCCCCTTCCCTTCTTCTTTACTGGTGGAGCCCATTTTCCACTATAGAGGTAAAACAAACAAACAAACATGGCAGATACCTTCGTGCCCAGCTTCCCTTGTGCTTGTGGCCTGGAATGTGGCCCAATTGTGACCAATGAGACTAAGGACAAGTCTATTGATTCATCGGTGGTTCTGTTATTTGTAGGCAAACCTACCCATATGTTGCCTTTCTTCCCTACTTAAGCCAATTTGCTTTTGACTTTCTAGTACCAAAAAAATAAAGAATAAATATAAAGAATAAACAGTGAAGTTCATGGAACTTACAGTTTTTGGAGGGAGTTAGTTAACAAATGAAAACAAAGACAAATATCTAATCCCTGCTCTGTTAAGTGCTGGGGAGGAAACGATGAGCTACTAGGCAAGAATTGTGACCTAGACAGCAGACAGGCCATTGAGCAGAGACGGGAAGGAGGGTGGACGGGATCGGGGCAGGGCCAAGGAGAGCATCAGATGTGGCTGCTGGGGCATGAGCCCAAAGCGTGAGGCTCTGTGTTTGGCAACTGCTTAATTCAAAGGTGAAAAATAATGACGAGTGTGTCAGACTAGATGTCCTGAAGAAACTCCTGCTACAAAATAACTAGATCCTGCATACGATATAATTCACACGGCCTGGCTGGGTTTACAGAACATAGAGGAAATTGCTACAGGAGCATAAACAGGGAGCTAAAACTAATGAAAAAGGCAAGGCCAGGAACTCGAGGTGGGAGCTGCTGGCCTGTGGAAAACTGTCGCCACCTGCCGCAGGTGAACGCAAAGGCAGCGGAGGAGGAGAGGCTGGCGCCAGCAGCATCTGCTACACAGACTGTTCATCTGGGAGGGAGCATGTGCCCATTAGGTGCCAGGCACTGCACACTGCGTAAGACAGGCAAGATCCCTGCTGTCACGGGGCCAGCGGGACCTGGCAATCTCACAGCGGAGAGAGACGATAAGGAAGGAAAAAAAATAATTTCAGATGGTGGTGAATATGATGAAATTAAAGGCCAGGCATTGTGGCTCATGCCTGTAATCCTAGCACTTTAGGAGGCCGAGGCAGGAGGATCACTTGAGGCCAGGAGTTCGAGACCAGCCTGGGCAACATAGTGAGACCCCGTCTCTACAAAAAATAAAGAAATAATCAGCTGGGTGTAGTAGTCCCAAATACTATGGAGGCTGAGGCAGGAGGATCACTTAAGCCCAGGAGTTGGTGGTTAATGGTGAGCTATGATTGTGCCACTGCGCAACATAGAGCAAGACAGAGCAAGACCCTGTCTCAAAAAGAAGGGAGAGAGGGAGGGAGGGAGGAATAAATTAAGAAATTAAAAAGAGCACATCTTGGTAAGCAATAATTAGGCAGTGAGGGGTTTGGGGAGCTACTTTAGCTGGGGTGGTAAGGAAGGGCCTCTCTAAAAAGGTGGCATTTCAGTTAAGAAGCCAGCCATGCAAAGTTGTAGAGAGGTAGAACTTTCCAGATCTAGAAGCCCTTGCCCTAAGTCTAGACACTGATCCAAAAGCTTCTGAGAGGAAGCTAAGCCTAGGACTGGGATGTGCCTGCCTTTATAGTCAAGGCCTCTGGGCCAGGGTGCCCAAGACATAGGACAATGCAAGAGGGAAGGACATGGCCAGCTCTTCAGCTCTTCCCTCCTGGACACCTGCTTTGATGCAGTTTGGCCAGAGAGCAGAGGGGCCGCTTACGTTCAGATATGCTACGTGAACCCAGAGGAAGGAGTCCGCACTGTTAATCTTGCCTACCTGGGGTGGGGATGGGAGAGGAGATGAGAGATTGTTAAACCTGTGCTGTTTCAGTGCTGTGTTAATTTTCTCACTTCGGAAGAGAAATTTAATGAAAGGTATGTTAATTTTTAATCTGCACTGTCAAATGATAAATACAAATTACCAATCAAAAAGTACAAATGAGAATTTTCAAAGATGTAAGGGCTTAAGGGTCTAACGAGTATTGTCAGCCTTCCCATCCCACAGGCTTTTCCCTGTTTTTATGGAAAAGAGCTGATAGCCATATTACGAAACAGCACTTATAACAGAAATAGCAGCTGTCCGGTGAAAGTTCTGCACCCAAAATGATTTTCAACAGGTTAAAAAAAAAAAGTATTCGTTTGGGGACATTTTGCAGCATGCTTACGCCCTGTGCTTCGCATCTCCAAACCTTTTCCCCCATTGGCTTTTCTTTCATTTTCTAACATTAACGAGAATGTGTAAATA